AAGTGTTCCAGAAATATATAAACATGGATAAATCAAATCAAGTCTGGAGCATGTGCTGTACGAGGTGCACCGTATGTGAAGGTGCCAGTGAGTAGTGCATCACAGTCCAGTTCAAGGCTCAGAGGTGAGCCAATGGACGGCCTGAGGGAAGAAACTCTTCCTCATCCTCTCAGGTGCAGCCTGTAGGTAGCGATAGCGTCGGCCTGATGGCAGCAGGGACAAGACGGAGGTTCCAGGATGTCTAGGCTGCTTCAGGATCTTCACAGTCCTTGACCTGCATTGTGGGGTGTAGATGTCCTGCAGGTTGGGGAGGGTGGTTCTGATGGTCCGCTCTGCTGAACGGCCCGACCTCCTCAGGACCAAGAAGTCCTGCTTCAGGTTGCTCTCAGTGGAGCAGGTGGAGAAGCTCCTGTGCACTGTGAGCAGGAGCTTGAAGTCTCTCAGGCGTCTGAGGTGGAAGACAGGCTGTCTGGCCTCCTTCACAGTGTCTGACCAGGACAGGTCCTGTGTGATTGTCAACCCGAGATATTTAAAACTCATCCTCCTCCTCATCCTCTTCTTCCTCCTCTTCCTCATTCTTCTTCTCCTCCTCCTCTTCTCCCCACCCCCCCTCCTCTGCACGTGCTGGCAGTGCTTGCTCTGGGCTCGTGCCGTTGACCATATAAGGAGCTGCTGCGCCATAAAAGGAAACACGTTTCTTTATATGGAGGAAAGTAGATCCTCCGCACGGCCCACAAACACGTATCACTGCGCACAACCTCCTTTACCGGCCCACCTTTTCTCCACCGAATGGTGTCAAACCTGTTATTGTTCCGTTTCTGGTATAAACCCGCCGTTTTTGATTGCAGCTGTGGCCGTAGTGAGGCTATGAAGAGGGACTATCTGTCCGGGCGGAGTGTTCTGTGCGGGCGCTGCTCGCCGTGTCCTTATGAGGAGCGGAGTGATCTGAGGGGGCCGGGCCTCGCTGCTCAAACTTTCTAACTTTGTTTTCTGGTTTCTGATCGATCGGATCGATTTCACGTAGAAACTGTTCCCGAGCTCGTGCTCTCAGGTTCCCCGGCGGCTCCGCCTGACGTCCCGCTGCTTCCCGGGGCCGCTCGGCGGACACGGAGCTCTACTTGTTGCTAAAGTCGCCGCTGACCCGCCGTTAGCCTGTTAGCTCCGCGCAGCTAGCGGGGCCGTTAGCTCGCTGTGTCCGGGCTGCGAGCTCCGAGCCCCGGCGGACGGTTGCTGTTCTCACCGCTGGTCCAGGAGCTTTGACACGCCGGGAGGAGGACGCATCCAGGCCCGGCCCGTGCGGGGGACGCTGCGGGGAATGCTGGCGGGGAGCGGGACCGGAATGGGCACCAGAAGTGGACCCGGGCGGGCGGGCAACGGAACCGGGCTCAGCAGCCCTCCCGTGAACACAGCCGTGCCCGGACCGGACTCAGCCTCCGGCACCGACGGATCCCAGTTCGAGGACCGGGAGTACAGCACAGAGGTGGTCTACAGCGGCTCCGAACAGGACTCCGAGTCCGGGGAGGACGAGGACGCGGTGGGCTCAGGCGGGGACCGGAGAGGCGTGAAGCGGGAGAGGAGCGAGAGGGAGGTCGGGCGGCAGCCGGCGCTCAGCTCCGGAGGCCTGAGCGGGGGGTTCGGCGGGGTCAGCCCCGGGGTGCCGGGGGTCAAACCCGGCAAGAAGACCAGAGGGAGGGTCAAGATCAAGATGGAGTTCATCGACAACAAGCTGAGGAGGTACACGACCTTCAGCAAGAGGAAGACCGGCATCATGAAGAAGGTGAGGAGCCATTATCGATCAGGTATCGATCAGAATCGGATTGTCCATCAGTCTGAAGATTCTTTCGAGGAAACTGTCTGAATTCTGTGACAAAGTATTTGAGGAAACTCTGATCCACATTTTTCACCTTTTTGGTACATTTTAGAACAAACAGCTGATCGATGAAAGTAGTCCGCCCTGGGTCACACTCCATCAGAAGAAGCTCCAGTTCAAACCTGGAGGCGGTTCTGGATGAACCCTGATGTGTATCTCTAGAATCAGGATGGGTTTCTGTTTAGTAGTGACATGATCAGCTCATGGCAGCAGCTTCACTGATCAATAAGTCTGATCAGTTATCAGCCGTTTGATGACTCAGCTTCACCACCAGCTCAGCAGTTGTTCAGACAAACAGTCTGAAGTCTGACTTCAGCTGCTTTCCTCTGACAGGAAACCCAACATCTGGATTAAACCAGATGTTAGGCTTAAGCCTAAGCCTAACCCCATAGGGTAACTAGGGTTACTCATGGATGACATCAGTAGCAGTAGATCCACAAACACTCACACCTAGAACCTCACTGTGGTTCTACATTCAGTCCACAAGAAGTACCTGAACCTGTGTGAGGCCAGAACTAACCTGTCCTCTCCTGTCCACCTGCAGGCGTACGAACTGTCCACGCTGACGGGGACGCAGGTTCTGCTGCTGGTCGCCAGTGAGACGGGTCACGTGTACACGTTCGCCACCAGGAAGCTGCAGCCGATGATCACGTCTGAGACGGGGAAGGCTCTGATCCAGACCTGCCTCAACTCTCCTGACTCGCCGCCGCGCTCCGACCCGTCCTCCGACCAGAGGATGAGCGCCACGGGCTTTGAGGAGACGGACCTCACCTACCAGGTCCCAGAGGCCGACGGCTGCTCGGAGGGCGCCAAGGTAACGCCACGTTCAGGGAGCATGGGACAGCAGAGCGTCAGCCCTGCACAGAGGAACCACCACATGAGCAGACTTTCACTCTGAGCAGGTTCTGCTCTGCTCAGTTCTGTTAAAGAATCACCGTCTGTGATTGGACCACATCAGTTCTGTAAAATATTTGGGCTGAATTGTTCTTATTTCTTCTGTTTTCAGACCTGGAAACTTACAGAAACAGGTGAAGACGTTCTGAGAGTTCAGTGTCTGCAGAAATAAACCCGGTGCGGCGACTCGGACAGAACAGTGTCCAGCAGGTCCGATGTGTTTAACATGGAGCCACTTGTAGCTCTGCACATCCAGAACCAACATGTAGAACATGTGAAGTCCAGGTTCCTACCAATGATCCACATCAACATTTAGTCTGAACATGTAGAACCAGAACCTTGTCTGGTCCAACTTCACCACATCAGGTTCTGCTGATGTTAGAGCCTCAGCAGTCGGTGATTCCAGTAGAACCATGGACCCATCCATAGACGGACACTGACGGGAACTTTCTGGACCAGTAACTAAACTGAGTCCTCATGGATCTGTTCAGTGGTTCTGATGGAACTGTTCTGTCTGAGTCTCCACATTTCATGTTGGACTTTTATTTCTGGAGGTTCTGAACCTGAAAGTGGACTCTGTTTTTTTTTAGGGTGAAAATACAAAAGCTTCCAGGTGAAGTTCTACAGTACGAGCCCAGATATTTGACAGAACTCAGGTTTGGGTCCTAAATAACAACTGAACTGTGAGCAGGATCATGTTTGCGGACTTCTGTCTTCACTGACTCACCTGAGCTCCACCTGGATGCCGTCATGTCTCTGCAGGATGTGATCAAACCCCCCTTCAGCCTTCCTGCCTCCACACCTTCATCCTCCTCGTCCTCGCTGCCTCTCCAGGTGCAGACCAGCACCTGGCAGCCCTCCTCCTCCACCAACGGGACAGTGCTGAAGACGTCGGCGGGCGTCGTGCTTCCTGGAGGCTTCACCTTGATGTCAGGTAGGTGGGTGGGGCTTTATGTCAGCTGTCAGTCACCTGCTAAGCGTCTGTCCAATCATCCTGCTGCTTGTTGTTCGTCTGCTGCGTTGTCAACACTCAGACTGAGCCTTCAGCTGATCAGAACGATCGGTCCATCGGCACCGTGAGCTCTCAGGTAAAGCTGTTGTGGACCAGCCGCTCTGAGTCTCAGGTGTCAGCGAGTGATTAAACACAGCCTGTTCCATCCTGCAGCTCACCTATCTCTGGCCCCGCCCCTCCCTCCACCTGTCCACAGGTGCGTCGCTGCCCCCTGGCACACACACCATCCCCCTCAGCCAGCTGCAGGGTCCAGCAGCCCCAGGCCCCGCCCCCACGCTGCACGCTCCGCCCGCACAGCCGACCACGCTGCTCCGCCTGCCTGCCACCATGTCACTGTCAGGTCAGCAGGCCGAGGCCCCGCCCACACCTGTGTGTGTGTGTGTGTGTGTGTGTGTGTGTCGGTGTGTGTGTGTGTGAGTTATTAACGGCAAGTTGTGTGTTTTCAGGTTCTGCAGTTTCTCAGCAACTTCAGACCATCCAGGTCCAACCCAGCAGTCAGCAGGCCTCCACCAATCAGAGCAGCCCTGACATCCACAGCCCTGCCTCCTCCACAGGTACAGTTTTGCTCCGCCTCCTCCACAGGTAGAGCGTAGCCCTGCCTCATCCACCTGACCATCTTTTCTTTGTCTGCAGCCGTGTCCATCGTCTCCTCATCCTCGTCCTCCTCGTCCTCGGTAGCGGGTCACATGATGTACCCCGGCGGTCACACGGTCATGTACGCCGCTCCGACGCCATCGCTGGGCGACGGCAGCCTCGCCGTCCTCAACACCTTCCCCCCGACAGGACACGCCCAGTCACATGACCCTGGTACATGAACAGTTTAACAACTGGTACATTAGCTAACGAGCAGTGCTAACATGGGACTTTGTTTGTGTCTTTCAGCCGTCCCGCAGGTCTTCCTCACCTCACTTCCTCCAGTCGCTGCTCAGATCCCAGTTTCTGCAGTGCAGCTTCACCCGGTAGGACACACAACTGCTAACCACTACTAACTAGTGCGCATAGCTGAATACTGACTAGTAAACAACACTGAATGTTAACATGTTGTTGCTCTGATGAGCGATCAGAAACAAAATCTTTATAAAGTTTATCTTGAAAATTCAGCTCCAAAGTAGAACCTCAAAGAACCAAACCGAGTCCAGCTGTGGTTCCCATCAGTCTACCTGCATGAACATGGTTCTACAA